TTACTTCAGTTTTTCTAAATTTTCATTTCGAAATAATCCATAATTCAGATTATTTGAACTTATTTATATTATTTATTTCAATTTATTTATTTTTAACTTATGTACATACACTTAAAACGAATCCTTAATTAGACTGCATAAGAACTGGCAATATAACTTTCCGACATAAAACCTAATTTTAGATTATTAATGATAAAACGGTGAAAAAATAGTCAGCTTCAAGGCCTTGTTCAATTGCTATTAATTCACTTTTGAAGACCGATGAGAAATCAGGGTTGCGGGAGCCCTGGTTTCTCAATGTAGATGCCTGCGTCCAGTTTACTGCCGTCTGTAAAAAATTTTATGGCATTGTCGGGGATCTTTTTTATGAAGCCAACTGTCAGAGATGAGCTGGAATGGAGACCGGTGAACGGGGTAGTAAAATCGAAGTGGGATTGAGGCAAGATTTTAAGGAGTGGGCCTCAATTTCATTATAAGGCAAACGCAGTAGCTTAGCCTGACTGATGAAGCTGTTTTTCTTAAGTCTTTGATTGTTATTCCTGTTGGGTTCTATTATGCTGACCGTAGCTTGTAAGTTTGTTATAATATTTGGTAAGGTTGGCCTTTCTTCTAGTTTGGAGAGGTTGCAAATTAGCCTCATAGAGAACTACTTCTCTCGGACAGCTGCGTCTTAGTCCAGTAATAATTCTAGCAGCACTGAGTTGAACCTCCTCCAATCTACCCAAGTTGGTGACTGAGGCACAGTTATAAACAGGGAAACCATACTAAGATGGGCCTAATTAATGTCCCCCCTTCAGGTCCTCGATTTCCTTAGGGTCAACGGTCTGATGGACCTTGTCTGACTTCGTCAGACATTTGGAGCTACAACAACGATGACAAATCTTCCCTCCTTTAATTCTGAGAAAGGTTCCTATTTGGTTATTCGAGTTATACAAAAATACATATTAAGTGAAACTTTATTAAAAATAGCTAACTGTTTTTAACTATAATACCCATCGTAAAATTCATTCACTTGCCAATAGTACCCTATTTAATTACTGTATTTTCAAAAAAAGAAAAAAAAACGTTTTGTACTTAAATGAGAATTGAAATTCATCCATAATTTTTAAATCTGGAGAAAATAGTAAAACACAAAAACTAAACTGGCTTCATATTTGCAAAGCATTTTTATATAATTTATTATATTTCTCTCTTTTGATAATTTGCTCTTTTTGAGATAACAACAGTTTTTATTAAATTTAAAATATATTGGACTGGCTGGAATTACGAAAGGTATAATATTGGTAAATAAAGCTAAGTAAGTGACAGAAGGAAAAAAATTCAATGTTTGTGTTTGTCGCGCATATAAAGTTGTCTCATGCTCAAGCGATCAAATTTCACTTATATAGTTTGTCTATGGAAAGAACTCCCCTCGCCACGAAAGCCGTCTGCTGCTATAGAAACAGGAAATAGTGCATTTTAAAGAGGGGAGCATCTTTCTACCTTGATTCTCCTACCAGCCCGACTCAAAAACTGTCTTAAATAATGACCCAACTTACCCTTGAAATAGTTGAACCTCGTAACCATAGTCACCGCCACCACTCCAGACGAATGGCTATGAACAGTTTTTTATATTGTCCACTGAACATGAGCCATATCCATCTACATCTGGAAAATCCTCATACATTTGAGGGTGAATAGGCATTGATTATGTTTCAAAACCTCTACATTACCTGAACACCAATTTCTTATCTTCAATACATAACAATTTTAAACATTCCTAATGCTTATAAGGTTTCAAAGCCTTTGTAAGCATTCGCGATAGCAACGCTCGATTACGCCATCTGGGGAGAGATCCATGCTTTTAACCCTTCCCTCTCCTCCTCTTTTCAATTATGTAGGAATGTGTGTACTACGATTTTCTTTCTTTTTCTTATTATTTTTCGTATTTAATCAATAAAAGTATTTTTTTTTTGTTTCTATTTCTTTAAATTTCTATGATTTTAAAAAATCACGACATTTTTTATAGCCATCAAGTCTTGAGACACTAATTTTTGACATGCTTAAATTGTGACAAAATTATTTATTTCCCCGAAATAAGTTTTTCAATTTTTAACGTAAATATTTTTTACAAAATTTCAAAACACCTCTCCAACGAAGAAAATCTGTAATTTAGACTATATTATATACTATTCGTTATTTTTATACTATTTTTTGTTTATTTTTAGGTGCCTTTTTATTATATGTCAAGAAAAGAGAGACTCCTGCAGCACTTAAAAGACACCAAGAGTAGTAACAATGCCTGGGAGTTTTGTGAATTGCTTAACTCTATAAATAAACTTAATTCGGATAAAAAATCTTTAAATAGTAATTTAATTATGAATCGGCTTAAGGAAATAATTCATACTGAAAAACCTGAATATAGCATGAATAAATTTATCTTGAGGTCCCTAGAGAATAGAACTCATCACTTAAAAGAAGTAAGTAAGCTTATATCTCGGTTTCTTTTGGATATTGATAATTTTGACTGTGAAAAACAGAATTCAGAAGAATATTTAATGCATTTCATTCAAGAATTCCAACGTCTTTTTAATATCTATGCTCGTCCTGGTATGAAATTTTATGGTTTTATGGAATCAATTTCTATTGCTTTAAAGCACATTGCACTGAACTGTACAAAAGACCTTCTAAGAGCACTGGCCAATAAATACCAATTGCATTTCTTCGACGAAGAGAAGAAAAAAATTGGATTTTTAATGGTAGAGGCTATTACACCTATTGAAAAATTTGTATATTATAGAAGCGGTGGTGAAACATACATGAAAATAAAAAGTTTTTTGTTGTTTCAAAGATCCTCCCTTCAGTATTTCAGAGATTTTTTTGATTCATTTCCTGTTGATGAAACTCCATTAAAACATTTTGATATGAACAGGATAGATTTGTGCATCAAGAAATTAGATAGGAATATTGATATTATGTGTGAAAGTGCTGAAAGTTGGGCTGAAGAATCGGAAGAGGAGGATGAGGATAATTTCAGTCCCTGTGATTACGCAGAACACGATGACATCAAAGAGGATGGCGAATCTATGCCTGAATCGCATGTGTGGTGGGCTAAGTGTTCTCAAACCCTAAATAATTTAAGGATTAATGCATTTCTTAATCAACTTTGTTATAATTCTTGAGCTGTAATATGACTTTCCAATAAAAAGAAATTTTTGTATGTTACAATACTCTGGATATTGAAATTTGTTGTTATGAATATAGGGCTGCCATTGGCGACTAAATCGACTATTTTAAAGCAATGCCCATCAACTAGGGCGACTATTTTAGTAGAAATATGAGCAAAAACAACTAATTTACAATGAGTTGCGTAAAATCGGCGACTTTTTTTTTTTTAGCCAATTAGCGACTAAAATGAAGAATAGCTTCATGAGTTTCCCCCTTCCCCCACTTTTTTTTGCAGCGCTTTCGTTTTATCCAAACTTTATTCTTCCTCTGTCAAAAGCAAGACAGACATGTTTTACCAATCAGACTAATGGAATTGAATTGCTCCTCCTGCTTCAGGAAGCTAATGTAATATCTCTGAAGATTACGTTTTTTCCCCTCTTTTAATTTAAACAAAGTGGCAAAATCAAAAAAAAAAAGGAAAAAAAAAATGCTGTCTTATAGGTCTCGCCGAAAAGTTTCTCCCCTACCTCAATGATTGATGGAGTTGGCGGAGGATCTCTAGTGAAAAAGCTCACCTGCTCCTGTAGATCATTACTCGCCAAATCTTTATGATGCCAAAGGGTTTCAAATGGAAAACCGATTTACCTCGCATTTGAGCGATATAGTTGATTAATTCTTCCTTTAGTCGGAGAGTGAAACTTTTTTGGAGGCGCAAGGGATTTTTAGAGAGAAAAGCTTTCTTATTCTCGTATGAAAAGGGATAAATCAGTAAAAAGTAAAGAAATTTAAGATTTTAAAAACAATTGTATAAAAAATTAGTATCATCTGTAATTCAAGACGCAAGTTTTAAATTGTTAGCTGTTAATTGTTAAAATATTCTCAGAAATAAGAATGATTTACTGTGAATTATTGATAGACGCTATACTTCCGCATGTTTGTGCGAGTAATTATTCAACAGAGAATACAACTATTGAGTAACAATGATGCCCTACAATAACGGGAGAGACATTCAGATTTTGACATTTTTATTAATTTCTCAAGAAATACTAAGAATATTATTTTATAACTGAAGAGATAGTTAGCTCATTCGTAGGGTTTAATTTAGCAATAAAAATTTAGTCGTCCAAGGGTATTCATTTAATTGTCATTAAATTTAATATGGTAGACAAATTTTAAAAAAAAAATTAACTTTACATTTGTATATTTTTTTATAGTATAACACTGAAAAATTAATAGAATAATATTAATAGAATTAGTAGAATAATATCAATAGAATTATCACTCGAGTAACGCAAACTCAGTTCTTAAAGGCCTTTCACAAAATAATTAGTTCTTAAATTAAGGGTTTCCTTGTCTTCTGAGTTGGCTTCCATAAAATAAATAGCAATCACGTGGTATATCTTTTCCCTAATCTACATGATGATTAGTTTGAAGTGGAGACGTGATTATCATTACTTTTTAAAGAATACATTAAATTCTTAATCACTTGTTTAATATATAATAAATATATAAAAACATTTCTAAAATTATGCNTAAGAAAAAGCTTTTAACATTAAAATTTTGTCAAACGTAATGCAAAAGTTGCATTTAGCGCATACGTTATTTTTTTACGTTGATTTTCCCATATTTTCTTAAAAGTTCTCTATTGTTTTCTTCAGAGAGTTCCGTAATGACTGTTCTCAATACACAATTTTGTAATTTTTGTTAAATGTAAAGTCCAATAATATGCATATTAAGGATTTGGACATAAGAAAAATAATCCACTTCATATTTATAGTTATTGACAGGGATGGTTGAAATAAATAAGAACCTATTTGTTTGCGTCTTGGGACACAAATGCTTTCATCTTTTATGATGAACTTTACAAATTCTAAAATAAAGTAGTCTCTTAATTTTTAATAAAGAATTTGTAAACTATGTAAACGAATTTTTAGTGGTTTGGGGAACACAGACATCTATAAAAAGGCCCGGTTTGGTGCCCCGATTGTAAATGTTAGGGAAAAAACTCAAGGTAAATTTTATTATGACTGTTTTTGGAAGCTTTCGAACAACTTCATAACTGCTGAGAATGCGTAACAGTTATTCATGATTGTATGATTAATTTTTCCTGTGCTTAGTAAGTTCCCTCTACACTAATCATGAAAATGGCACAATATGTCTATATGAAGAAAGACCCAGTTGTATGATAATCAAGCAAAATAATATTTTTTTTCTTTTCTATTACAGATACAGCTCTAAAGTTATGGCTTACTTTTCATCATTTAAAAAATGCAATATTAAGCCTATCGTTGTTCTTGATGGAGGTAAAGATGATTCAGATTTACCAACTCAGATAGAAAGATGGAGGCAACGGGTTTCCCGAGTGAAATTCGCATCGGCTGGTAATACTGAAAAGCCATTTCTCCCTATAAATGCCAAAGGGGTTTTTAAAAACACCCTCTTAAAGCTCGGTATTCCACTTGTCCAGTGCGAATTTGAAAGCGATGGTCACATGGCTTCACTTGCGAATCATTTCAACTGTCCTGTTCTTAGCGAAGATAGTGATTTCTATATATTTGATGTAAAATATGGCTACATAAGAACGTCAAGCCTAGGCAGTTGCGATGTACTGACATCTGAGGATAATAAAACCAAATACTTAAGTTGCAAGATTTATCATATAAATAAATTCCTTTCATTTTATCCATCCATTAGCGAAAGCAATTTACCGTTACTAGCTTGTTTGGCTGGTAATGACTTCATAAAATATGAAGATTTAAGACCCATAGCATGGTACTTTTATCCCCAACCAGGGAAGAAGATTGAACAGATTCTAAAATACTTAGGCACTCGCGAATATGTTGAAGTTCTTGGAGACATATTAAATTTAATTAATAAAGAAAAACAAGAAGAGTTTAAAAGATTGTTGGATTGTTCTGTGAATTCTTACAAAATCAAATTTTCCAACTTATCTTATTTATTTGACAACAATAACATGCTGTCGGATACCAAACTACTTCCAACATCGCAATTAGTGGCTCCTTGTGGAACGCCTTTTCCTAAAGAATATGTGCACGAACACAGCCAAGGGCGCTTGCCCTCTTTTTTCCTTTACGTTATCAATTTACATCGATCATTCATGCCTACTCAAGTAGGTGATTTTGTTGACAGAAGTAGCTATAACTGCAGTTGCTTTGTTCGTCAAGTTATTTATGGCATACTTTTTCAACACGAAACTGCGACTACAAACATGAAGGATCATAAATTACTATGTTTACTTGATGTCGATGAATATGATGTAGATAAAGGATTTGAAATATTCTTCAAAACTAAACCTATGTTAGCTCTTCCAAGTGGAAAACCTGTTCCACATTTACATCAAATTAAGCATATGGATAAAACAGCGCGACTGGAGTTCTTAGCAGAAGTTATTGGAATTAAAACATTCTATCTGAAACATTTTCCAGAGAAATTACAGCTTTTGTTTGCTATCATATGTTATTGGCTGCGAAACTGTTCACCTAAGCCTACTAAAGAATTCTTTTTAGCCTTGTTGTTATGCATCACTCATTTTTATGTGTTGCATGAATCAGTTTTAACATATCCTATTTTACAAGACAAAATCGATGCTGATCTTTCAAAGATGTATTATTCTCTTAGAAATATCACATCGAATTCGGCGAAGAAACAAGCCGAATTTGCACAAACATTTCCACGCGACACAAAGATAAGTTTGCAACATCATTTCGATGTGTATGTGATTCACAGCTACAACCAACTTCAAACTTGCTTCAAGTACTTGATGTCATTAAATCAACTCTTAGAATCACCTTTGAAATCTATTAACTCTGAGAGCATCTTTGAAGGCTCAATGTTATGTAGTTTAGCAAAAGAAATTGAATCTAATCCTGAAAGCGACATTTTTATAGAATTGTTCCTAGGAAAAGAAACGGCAAGTCAAAACGTATTCAATATAATGCTGAAAAAAGTTTTTCAAAACATTCCACCAGGTTTTCCTTGGAGGGAAACTCCTAATTGGAATTCAGAAAAATCAAAATTTTTCCGTAAACTTGGATTTTAAAATTATTATTATTATTCATTGCTAACGAACACGAATGTACATTTGTTTTTAAAAAGAAGGTGAAATTTGAAAACTAACTATTTGAAGAACTCAAACTAACTCTCTTATATAATTTTATCAAATACTGTTTAGATTGTTATAAATTTTATTGTTGAACCATACTAACTTTCAAATTTGCTGTCATCTTAATGTACCCCTTACTTGATATCTTATTTTAAATTGCTTACACGATATAATGTTTGAAATTTAATGGGGACAAGATTAAATTCAGCACCTTATTATGGTTGCAGCAAATTTTCACCGCATTATGGTACAAAGTTATGGTTCAACGTTGAACCGATTTTATGAGAGTGTGGAATTAATTTCTGTTGCTTTACTGACATTCTTCAAATATTTTTATGGCTCTGGAACAATTGTTTTAAACCTTGAAAGTGACAAATAATTTTACATTTAATAAAATATTTATAAAAAATTTATATGTAAGTCAGTATCAATGGAAATAAATTGAGAAAAAATCCTTTTTAAAAGAAATGTTCAAGGTGAATGCTTTTTTTTATATTCAAACGCATAACTTTCGGTGAAAAGTATTTTCCATCATTATTTTATTTAATAATTGATGTTGAGCTACCTATCCATTTTTGAGCTTATTACCCTCACTGTTCATCTCCGTAGACTTGTAACCTTTAACCCAATGTAGAGAATCCTGAATCTTGGACTCTTGTGAAGGACTTTTTGAGGAAAACATAGCCCTATATGCGTACATAAAGAATAAAATCAGGAAAATCTCTTTCGTTTAGTCAGACAGCAAGGTCGTGATTCTAACCCATTAATGATCCATCTAACGGAAGCTTATTTCAACAGTCGGCATTGTGGCCGGTGCGAAACAGGAGTTGAATTCGACCCCGAAGGCGAGCACTCTATCCTCAGAGCCACAGCGGATCAAAATTTTCTATCGGCAGTAATTTTTCTCATTGCTAAGTTAAGTGAGTGACAGATCTAAACAATTTTACATTTTTCCATATTTTGGAAAAATTGTAAAACGCTTATATCTAACAAGAGATCCGGTCGGAATTTGTTTCTTCCGAATAGGAATGATCGTAAAATGTTCGGAATTCTTCTAAAGATCAAATAAATTTTTTTGTTTTAACAAAAACAGTTTTAACAAAATGTTAAACATTCTGCGAAAATTGGGAAGAAAGTGAGACTAAATGTGAGAAATATTCAGAAATACAAAAATTATTACAACGGGCAAGCTTTAATGAGAGGTATAAGTGGTGACGAATTCAATTTTAGTAAAGCAATTCTTCTCTTCGCATGGTATGCGACGAAGACCATGCGGGCACGAAGACGATGAATGTATAAGATACGAAGCAGACAGAGAAGAGGTTGATAGCTCATTAATGTTTCACAATAAGCCTATTCATTTGTAAATTGAGAGTAGCTTATTTTCATCGTTAAGCACAGGAACATTTTAGTTAAATTTTTTATACTTTTTTTTGTAATATATTTTTGTTTTTGTGTACCTGGAAACTTCGCGATGCATAATTAGATTCTTTATATTCTAAATGGCTTCATGCCTGTCTTTGTGTTAAGTAAGAAATGTATAGAGAAAGAATTGAAATCTTTGTGGAAGAATTTTGTGAAAAAATATGGATTGTGTCACTTAAGAGAATTTATATTTGACGGGCTTGGCTTGCGCGAAATAGAATGGGCAGAACAGTTGCTAATGTTAATAAATGCCATATTTCAGCAACCAATCAGGATCGAGTTACCCACACTACGTCACTTCCAGGTATCCCATTGTGTAAAAAAGAAAAATACTATTCCGACTTACTTGTTACGCGTAAGAAAATGTTTTTTACTTAGTATCAAGTAAAGTTTCCAAAGTTCTGAATAGAATGAGAACAAATCCAAACCAATAGGATAAAATAGTTTTTTTTTTAAATTATAAGGTTTTATTCGAAAACTTTTTTTTATCAAAACCTATTCAACAAACAGTAAAGATAGTTCAAAAA